ATGATGATCATCGATAAATGAACACATCAAAAGTAGATTGCAACAGTCCTGAAATAGATCCTCTATGAAATGCCGAATTAAACTGCGAGTTTTGTTTTGAGAAATGTTATGTGAACGATCGGAAATGTTCTGATTATATTATATGAGTGACATGAAGATGAATTGTATAATGAATTAGTTGAAATGCAACATAAGATGTTTACAATTAACATCTGCGATCAAGTGGATAGAGAGAAATGAGCGATAACCAGAGAGCGTGTGTCCACGGAATTGTTCGAGAGAAAACGTTAATGAAAGTGAATAAATCAACGGATTAATATCCGATCTCATTCATACAAGCCAATTTTTAGAGACAGAGTATCTTTTGTAGTCCCTTATTAGTGTTCTTATGTAGAATACTGAAGTATCGCATGGATATGGAAGTCATAATCGAGTGAATGAATATTCATTTTGGATAATGCATGTGAGCAGTTTAAATTGTGAAGTGATTGCATTGAACATTCTTGAACAAAAGTAACAAAAGTGGAAGCATTTCGATGGGTGAAGTCAAATTATTCAGAATGGGAAACATTCTGAAAATTTTGAAGTGATATTGAACATGCAAAACATTGTAGGAAATGCTCGTCTCGTGTTCACAGCCAGGATTGCCGCGGACGGATCGTCATAATGAATTCGGTTCATGTATGGAAGGTTTTAGTGGTTACGTTGGAGAGTCACTTGTTATCACCGGTAAGATAGAAATTGATCACTCATCATAATCTCAAATCCTCTTGAATGAAAGTCAGGGCTTCTCGCAGTTCTCGGGGACGTGAATCTTTATAAGATGAAAAGAAATCACAATTTTCACAGCAATACAAGAGAAGGGCTTCGCTTCAGAGGGGGTTTCTATTTAGAGGGGAGAAGTTCTGTTTAAAAGAGTCAGAGTATGATTATGGTTATGTTCGTTGTGAATGTTTCTCATAAGTTTCTTCCCAACAACTGACCACTTCTCTTAAGCGATTGAGTGCAAATCGTTAAAACATCAAACTTTAAGTATAGGAAAGAAGCCTTCCGGTTGTCGTAGTTATTCCATGACGGCTGAATTGTTCGTTAGTTTAGGATGAATTTTGTGGATGTTTGTTGAATCAATAGTTAAGCATGAACTCAATTTATCATTTCACCACGTCATTAGTGAAACGATAAAGAAGCGGAAACTATTCCGTAGGGAGTTGCACAGGCCATTTTCATTCACTGGGCGATTTCTTTGAGTAGTTCTGCGTAAAGTTTTGCCGATGTCTTACATCGTGCTCAAGATATTAACTCAAGGTATATTTGATCGCTGTCAGTCGATTCAGTACTTGTGAGAAAGTATTATTCACCTGTAAGTGTTATTCACCGTACTGCTTATCAAAGTTAAAGGTATGAGACGGGCAGAATAACATTCAGATTATTCTTCATTGGTTCGACCTTTCAGGGTTACCAGGTGCAAAGAAATGGACTGGAGGTGTATTCAGTAGGTATTATCCAAAGGATATGTTCGCAATGAACGTTGATCGCTGGACAATGGGTGTTGAACCACGAGCACACGGCGTGCGATCGAAGTTGCAGGCACATGACTATCTCGGCTATTCGGTACGACACGGTCGTTTTGGATTCTGGTTCGTTTCTAAATCATAACAGTTTTTTGCAGTCAACTTTTTGAATCGTTTTCTGCAAATTTTCTGTGTTTATATTAGTGTATTTATAAAACTGGACAAGTTTACTTGAAATTATTCATTTAATAATCATTTTGATATCGCATTTGGATTTGTGGAATTCACTCATGTTCGTGTAATCACTCGAAACATAATAATGAGGTATGAATCAGCAGCACTGAAGCTTTGCTTTTTCATTCAATACATTCAATTATCAGTGATTTGTTAAGGTATGAAGACTCACGAAATTCAACAATTGTATCGGGTGCAACACGATACAATCAAACTGGGGCAATAATATTCTTGCCATTCAAACGTAGTTATACATCTGGAAGTAGTTCATCACATCAGTTGGCTCTCACTGAAGATAGTTTCATGCTATTGGGCAACCAGCTTGGTTCAGCTTTCGGTTATGCCATCGAAGTTATCGATCTTAACAATGACGGGTTCGTGATACCTTACTATTATCCATATACGTTATAATCAAGTCATTGATTATTTTTACTGCACATGTCATGAGCTTTTTGTTCATTAAATTTTCACTATTCTTGAGCATTCGTCTTATGAGCTGTTACTCATTACTTATGCGAATTTCATAACTTAATTTCATAGCTGACAGAATCAGAAATGCGTCTCTTTGTAAGCAACATTATCCTG